TGTGTTTATGACGCTAAGCAAGAAACTGGCGAGCAAAATCTCGCCGGGCACTTGCGTACGGCCATAGTGCTCGCAATCTGACTCATCCTCACCAGGCCAGAGAGGGCCAGGCCCAGCTTTTCAATGGGCGCATCTGTTGCGAAATTGTTGTTTAGCAGTTGTTGGGGCCCGGATCCGGGCACCGAACAAGCAGGCGTCGTAGTGTTTGTTGGGGAGTGTGTTTTGCCCAGGCTGTGCTGGCATCGTGCTGGAGCTGTTCCAGTGGCTGCCGGGCGGCGTTTCTGTTCCTTTTCGAGTCGGTAGTATAATTCGTTTGGCAAATTCGATTCGTCGAGAATCATGAGCTTGCGTGTGAGATGGCCTGGTACTTTCTTGACGGTGCAGAGAAGGGCAACTTATTGCATTTTTGCTTCCAGGGTTGGCGGGCTGGACTGATCACATCTTGAAGGAGAGCATTCGAATGTCGGCAAAGAATTTGATGGCCCAGCAGGCATGCTGCTGCATCGAGAATCCGCCATTATCCGGGGCAAGCACGGATGGCGACAGCAAAAGCAGTGAATGGATTCGGCATATGGAGACACTGAGACGAGCCGTCCACTGCCTGTACAAATTATGTGAAGAGGAGCAGATGCTTTCACGATGCCAGGTTCGAGCAGCAAAACTTCCATTTTTCACGCACTGCTTCTGATATTGCCGAATTATTGTGTTTGGGCTCTTTTTGGGTATCGGCATAGCCGGCAATTCTCAAGCTTCTTTGTAACTTGCATGAAGGTATCTTGCTGCCTCACTGCCTTCGCGTTGTTCAGTTGACATTGCTTAGATGCTGCTGTGCAGTCGGCTGCACCAGTCTGTTGTCTCTCATTCTCGTCAAAAATTTTTGATCCAGACAATTTCCGATGTGATTTATGCCGAGCCCTGACAATTTACAATTCTTTTCGCGTAACGCATATTTCTTAGAGATTTGGTGTATATAAATTATTAGAATTTCTTTATTATCGATTTGGTGTAACAGCAAATAGTGTTCCATGTTAGTTGAAGCCGATGGTCAATGGGATAATTAAACAAATAGA